AGTTTGTAGGGGAATGTGTTGCTACCATGGTGGGCCCTTTCACTCCTGTCTGTCTGAGCCTCTCCTTCTACCCCTTCACCCTGCCCAGATCTCTTTTCTACCCTCCTTTTCCTTCTTTCCTTTCCCCCTTCTCCTCCGTCTCCAAACCCTTTCCCCTTTTCCTCCTGAACATGTTCACACATAGAATCATAGAATAAAATCGTAGAATGGTTTGGGTTGGAATGGACCTTCAAGATCATTGAGTCCCAATCCCCCTGCCATGGGCAGGGACACCTCCCACTAGAGCAGGTTGCTCAAAGCCCCATCCAGCCTGGCCTTCCAGGGATGGGGCACCCACAACTTCTCTGGGCAACCTGTTCCAGTGTCTCACCACCCTTACAGTAAATTTCTTCCTAGTACCTAATCTAAATCTCCTCTCTTTCAGTTTAAAACCGCTACCCCTCATCCTATCACTATACTCCCTGATAAAGAGTCCCTCCCCATCTCTCCTGTAGGGCCACTTAGGTACTGGAAGGCCACTGTAAGGTCTCTCTGGAGGCTTCTCCAGGTTGAACAACTCCAACTCTCTCAGCCTGTCCTCATAGGAGAGGACAGATGTCCTCCAGCCCTCTGATCATCTTTGTGGCCCTCTCTCCCCCTTTCCCTTCCGTTCTGCCCCTCTCCCTACTGCCCAGCCCCTTCCAAGCTCCTCCAAGCCTTTTCCCAGCCACAATTTTTTTTTGCTTTACTCTTTAAGGGGACTCATATATTTTTCAGATCTCCAAACTTGGCTTGGTTTCTGCAAGTGCTTATAAAGACCCAAAAAAAGACAACAGTCCAAACCGAACTTGAGGTTCATGGCACACAGAACTTCTAGAGTTTTTCACCAAAAAGAGCTGGAGTAAAGTTTTCAACATGGAAAATGCCATTTTTTTTTTCTCTACGCTGAGTCTCAGGAAAAGCGGAATAGTTTTTTCTTGAAACTTTCCTCAGAAAGAAAGAAAAGGAGAAAAAAGAAATAGCCTGAGGCAGACATTCGACATGGAAAATGTTAGTTTAAAACAACCAGACAGACTGTGAGCAACTGAAGACAGGGTTTTAGTGGAAATCCTGAGGCAACCCTATCTATAGGTGCTGCTACCTGCTGTGCCTCTAATTACACCTTTTAGCAATCCTCGCCATTGCTCAACAGGGAGAAAAAAAGGCAAGGAATGAGTTTTTAATGGTATTTTAATGCTCTAGAATAACTTAATGTAATGTCTAGTGGTCACCACCTACTCCACACAGAAAAAAATCTCCAAGGGGTTTGTAAGGCCATGGAGGATCAGAAGACAACAGTGGTGACCACTGAAGAAAGCGAACTCCATCTCTTCACCACATTGTAGGGGGTGGCAGAGGGGTGGCACTGGACCAGCAGTGCCCACATGGACTTGTGCCTGGCTCCCATCCCCTCCCGGCCCCCACAGGCCTAACACATGACTACCCTTTGCGCATACGAAATAACACAAGGATTAGGCTGTAGGGGGCAACTTGCACAGCTGGGCTGGTGGTTGGAGGGCAACACACAGAGACCTCCCCCACTTTGTGGAGGGGTCTCCCTGGGGTTCCTCCTCCACAGTGGGTGAACCGAGAGGTTCTTATCCTGCAAAAAGCATCAGTCTGACAGAAGGGTGCTTTGGTAGCATGATACCCTCGGCTCCCGTTGACCCCCTTGGGTGTACCCCGTGGCACAGGACCTGACAGGACGCTGCCAGCAGCTCATATGTACAAGAGTTAATTCTCTACAAACCCACCCATTATTCAGTGCTGCAGAAAAGGGTTTGATTTAACGGGAAACCAGGGAAGTGAAAAACAGGAGAGAGGAGGCAGGACAGGGAGCAGAAACGAGCAGCACATGAAGAGGCAGGAAAGGAGATCTGAGACTCCTGAAGGAAAGTGCGACGGAGAACACCAGGATGAATGAGGCCACCAAGAAAGATGCACAGCGGCAGGGGAGGAGATGACATTACGGGTTAGAAATTAACAGATAAGGAGGGAGGGACAAAGCAGAGCTGCTGAAACTGGCCCTCAAAGAACAGTCAGTGAGATGGGAAGGACTAGAAAAAAAAAAGGAACAATAGAAAAAGAGGGGGGAAAACAGATGAGGAGATAGTGATTTCTTGTGCTGGAGGAAAGAGAGAATTCAAACAGAACTTGAAGAAAGAAGTGTTTGCTTAGAAAAGCAGCTGCCAGGAGGACAACTTTGTCCAAGAGAAGAAGGTGGACTGGGAAGCATCAGGGGAAGCAAAGAGCCACCCGAGCAAAACGTCTGGAGGCAGGATTAGAAGGATGGTGGTGGCCTGAGAAGGTTTTGCATTAACATAAAAAATGAAATTATTCTAGTCAAACCTGGAAGGAAGAGGAAAATTTAGCATGAGCAAAATAAAACTGGGAATAACAACGAAAAAACCTTTCTCTATGTCTGTTTCTTGCATTTTTCCCCTAAGTACCTGCATCAAGAAAAACAGGAGAGGTCTGAACTTAAGCCTAATGCAATTTTCATTAATTTTAGCATTGAAAAGATCTCTGTTCAGGAAAGTGCTTAAATTCCATGAGAGTGAAGAGAATTTGGATACAGGCTACTGTAAAATATAACTTTAAGTGCTTCACAACAATACCCCTGGATCATCAACACGGTCTCTGATTTAGCCCCAAAGGGGCAACACCACAGAGATTATGGGAAAAATCCTACTGATGCCTCTATCTGTGGATCGACTTTGTTTCAGCTGGGTGTATTTTTTTTGTTTCTGAGAATGATCGATGTTCATGTTAAAGTTGAAAGTAGTGACTCTAGATGATTCTGAAACTGCACGTGTCCTTCAGCTGGCAGAGGATTAGCAACCAATTCAATCTGACAGCAATGTCCCGGTGGCATCTGTGTACATTTATTTCTTGTTTTCAGCAGGAAAGCTGACCAGTGAAGGGAAGTTAGTCTACACACATATGAAACTTATTTAATCAGCTAATTGATGCAAAAACATTGTGTGTTATTATTTATATTGTTTTATATTAAAGAAAGAAAAACACACTCCAGTGAAAGCTGACAAACTAGCTGGCTACCTAGGGTGGACTGTTGCCCACTGTTTTCTTTTGTATTTATTCAAATTAACCTGAACATTTATATCAAAAGAATTAATGAAAGCAAAATGAGTACAACTGATGAGGAAAAAAAAATAAATTAAAGAAAGCTTAATCCTTTCTTTTTCTTCAGCAGTACCTTAGCAAGTGCTGCAGGGCTGGTTAATGATCTCTGCCAATAACAGCACAAAGGCGATACTGTCAGGGCAGCTCAGAAGGCCTGGAGCTCGTGGGCTGAAATCCCTATGGCACATTAAATTCTGGAATTTTGTTGACGAAACTGGGGCAACGAAGTTCCAGCTTTACAAAATCAGGAGGTACTTCCTATAGAGGAGACTACTACCAGAGCCAACTAGCACCTTTGAATAGAAAACAAATGGCAAAAATTCTGGATGAGCTGAAAGTCAGGTGCAGCTCAAAGCTCCAAAACTGAAATACAGACTAAAACGTCCCTTTTTTTCTTTTTCCCAGACAACATGGCAAAAAGTTATGCTTTCATCCATCATTTCTTGACATGACATAACAGCACAAAGTCCTAAAATTACGTCACTGTGCAATAAAACTGCTTAAACTGTCATTTTGAGGCTTAAAAAGAAACCCAGATCAGTTGTGAGCTCACTTCCTATGTCCAAGCCTGTTGAGAAAACACAATCCACACTCGGGTACTGAAGAAACAGGAGGAGAACCAAAGATTTATGGACATCAGAATGACCCATCCCTGCAGTCACCAGTATATCAAAAACAGACAGGAGAGTTGACGAATAAAGGTCTTCTAGTTGTAGAGACCTGTTCATTATGCAATTAGGTACACAGGAGATGCTATAAGATGTATTACTAAATGCCCTGTAGTCTCATAAGCCCTCAAGTAAGGCTATCTGTCAGTACCCTCCCTTTCCGCCTCAAGCAATACCTCATTTCAGGGAAGAATTAGCCATATTTTATTCACTCACATGTGATGAACCTTGAAATGAGTCTCTCTCATTCCTTTCCTCGTGTTCCCATCTCTGTCACTAATGCCTTCTTTATAGAGCTATGCTTTTCCAAGTATCTGGGCACATCTGTTTTCTCTTTTCTTCCTCCACCCATCATGTCACCATCTTTAACAAGTTTTTGCTCCCTCGGGTAACTGTTACGTTCTCACTTTTTCTTGCTCTCCAGCTCCCCTTTCCGTGTTCTTTGGACACTTCTCCAAGAGTGTATCTGTCCTTTTGGCACATGCTTTCTTCCTCCCTTCACACCTCCATGTGCCTCTCAGGTCCCGTGTCTGCAAAATTCATTCCCAACGTATACACTCCGTGTGGCTTCCTTCCCTTCTTCTGTTTAATTTGGATGAAGAAACCTAATTCAAAATATTGCACTGCCGCTCTTTGGGCTTAATAAAACCTACCTCTCTGCATCTGCTCCTGCTCCTTGGTCCAAAAGCTTTTCCTTTGCAGGTTCCTGCAGCCCAAGGAGGTCCAAAAGCTTTTCCTTTGCATATTCCTACAATTGTTTTCTCTTTGTACATAAAAATAGTCTCTCTGACATTCCTTCTCTTGCCAAATCTGTATTACCTGTTGAGTTCTTTATGTTTGTCTACGATGTTTCATATATTGTCATTATTTCGCTGATCTATTTCTTTCACTTCTGGGGAGGATTTATTCCTCTCAGGACAAAACTTGCCATGAGTTGTCTGAGCATCTAACACCACTGCTGACCTCCATCTTTATAAAAAGACTTATTTATTTTAAAGCACATCTGGGACAAGGCTTTTAAAGGTTCCTCCCGATCATGTAAGTTAAATGTCTCTTCAGCAAACGACCCTGTAAGTTTGTAAACTAACAGCTTTACTACGCTGTTACATTTTCCTCACGAAAGAACCATTTTAGAGACGCCACAGATGCACAAAACTGGTTCCACCTTACCTTTTACGTGGCTTCTCCCATCCTCCAATAGTGGTACTACTATAGTGTTGTTCATATTCCCAGGTGATCTCACAGCTGTATAGACAACGGGTACCGACTGTACCACCACGGGGATACGGTGCACGTGACTCATTTTGTTGGACTGCAAGTTCATGGGGCTTGAAGGTGGTACTGGATGGATAATGTGCAAAAACTGCTGGCCTCCAACACCAGACGCAGAGGCCACAAGAGGACCTGGAGTTAATACTGACGGTACAGATGCCGCTGAGGATACTGATGTTATTACTGTGGGTGATGAAGCTGGTCGACTAGAAGAAGAAGAAGTAGAAGTAGAAGAAGGGGAAGAGGCTGATGCTGTCATGGAAACTGGTGAAGATGAAGCTGCTGTAGGGGACGACCTGGCTTTGTTTATTGACAAGTCCACTGGTTCAGTCTGTGTTTGGAAATGGTCTGTAGATAATGAATCCTCCATGGGGTCTGCCTTCATGTTGTTTAGTAACAAGGGTACAGCTTCCATATCTGGGTAGTTGTGGACGTTTGGAGACTGTTGAGGAAGGACAAAGAGACATAGTTACATATGAGGTTAAAGATGACTTGCATCCCCAATGGCTAATGTACATCACACAACTTGGTCATGAAAGCCACAGGATTTGTTTCCTTTGTTTGTGTCAGTTCATAAGTTTAAAGGACAAATCGCGCAAAAAAGCACAGATATATTCAGTTTGAACAGAATATTTTAAAAAGTCCTAATCTCATTTCTTAGAAGGTGGCAGGATTAAGTGTACAAAATCATCCTGTTTCTTTGCACTATGCAGTCATCAGTGACAAAAATTTTATTATCTCTTACAGATAGCCACTATGTATATTTACAGGACATTTCTTCCCAACATCTAACTTTAAGCTACGGAGTTACTCTCTTGTGTCACCTCCAGTGCACCTGAAGAAAAACTAGTCGCTACCATTTTTCAAACACCTTTCTGCATGTGTGAAGAATGCAATTTCCCCCTACCTATCTATCTTCTTCTGGACTTAGGCAGACCTTGCTTCTTCTTGCTGTCATAACCCACCTTTAAAAGAACAAGCCTCGGCACTCATTTGCTCTTCGTAGCGATTGTTGTAGTTTTGTCCACATCACTTTTCAGAAGGCAGTGCCTTACACTAAACACGGCCCTTCAGTTCAGCGTTTGACTTTGGGCAGTCTGCATGGGTTACTCACAAAGCCCTCACAGGTCAGCGGAGAGCCCCACGTTCCTATGGCTGTTCCTCTTACAGGCAGCGATGGCTACAGCAATTCATTATCCTGATTTAGCACGTTAGATAGCCTTCCCCATTGTTATAATTTAATTTTTTTCATTTTTCCACACTAATTAAGAACAATTTTCCTGACTTGGCAAAATAATTTTGTGCTTTAGACCAACTCTTTCAAAGCTGGTTGGTCTACGTTTATTCTAGACTGGTGTCATCTGCTATTTTTATAGTTTTATTCCTTATTTCCACCATCAAAGAGGTTAATAGAATTTTTGAATAATGCTAGGCCAAAGATAGATCTTTGGAGAAGCTCATTTGATATATCTTTCCTTTTTGACAGTACATCGTTAATAACTACTCTTTAAAAATGTTTTTTCAAGTAATTTTCAATAGGCAGAGCAAGGAAGGAAATGCCCATCGATAACCTGGTAGCAAGACAAAGCACAGCTCTCAGCTCCTCAGCTAAGTACCTCCACGGCACTGCACTGCAGCAGAGCTCCTCTACAGGCACACACACACTGTTATGTGCTGTAGTATGGAAAATCAACCTCAATTAAAAAAAAAAAAACAAAAACCAACCAAAAAAACCATTTGCCAAGCTACTTAAAACCTCACTTGACCCAAAGCAATTATTCCATATACAGATCTAACAAGCCATTTTTTTATGGTACCTAAACAGCTCTAGATGCATTCTCTTGATCTCTAAATTACAGTATTTACTAGGTATCTAAAAATATTAAGTCAGAAATATTTAAGCCACAAATATTGCAGTTGGTGTACTCGAAATAGGCTAACAGTCAAGCAAGCTATGAATTCACTTTGGGATTTTTATAATCAACTATGTTAAATATTTTCACGGAGAACCCTCCTTGTTTTGAGTCGGAGCCAAATTTAATCACAGAAGGAGGTTCCATTGCAAAAGGAAAATAGAAACACTAATATTAAAAATCGTAATAATAACAGCCTTAGTCGATATTATCCCTGGCATGCTGAAAGATGAGATGTTCTATTAGATCCCATCTATTCAGCTGATTTAGACTGGTTCTTGGATCTGAAATTTCCTTCCATTTGAATGCCAGAACATCTCTGGAACAGCAAGTCTCTTCCTCTATTCATACACAAATCAACTTAAAACAAAAGGGACCCCAATTCATCCGGCCTCTGGACCCTGCTGTTCTGCTGTAATACAAGTAACAAAAGCCAAAAAAAAAATCCCTTTATAAAGACAATAGGAAGTTCATCCGCTAAAAAGGAACAGAGAGTGAAGAACAGGTCACTTTTCAAAGCACACAATGGACTACAAATGACAAGGTTATGAAAGTTCTTCCTCAAGAAGGCAAAAGCGCCTGTAATCGCCAGGTGATGATTCCCAGTAACTTCCTCTGAAACACCTTATCCAGGCTACAGTCAGTAACGAGATTCCGCATGAGGCACACCGTGTGTGCCATCATAAGGACAAACCCACAAACACACATGGCACAAGTAGTTCATCTGTCAGATCTTTGACAAGTCTTACATACGCAATGGGCAAACGGACTGGTTCTGCTGAACTAGACAGACTGGTGGGAACAGTGACTGCAAGGAGCAGAGGGACAAACTGCACGGGCTATACCCAAATCTTCACAAGGCCAAAGGCTTCATCTTCTGTCTTAAGTGTTTGAGAGAAGGGGGATAAATGGGGTCAACTCACGTACAAGGGAGATGCGGGATGCCCTTGTGCACCCTGAAGTGCTCTGAGGGCACTGGGGACTTGTTGTACCCAGCCTATGCATGTCAGACTGCTCCCAGCAGTCTTCTGACTTCTGGGATACTTCCAAGACTGGACACAAGGCATCCACATAGACCTCGGAAGCAGTTCATCACCAAACTGAGTGCAGTCTGCCCCAAAGTCCCACCTGCCTTTGCAGCAAGCAGCACCAGGTCCCTTACAGGAAGAATCAGGAAGGACCTCAAGCTTTTATGTATCTGATGTCACACAAAGAACTTGTTCCATGGACAGAGTCAATTGTCTTTGAGACAAAGCACAGGTCATGACTTACAGATTTTTCTAGATTGTGCAAAGAACAGGCCTTTGTTTTACTATAGTAATTACACCTAGTCTTTTGGGAATTAAAAAAAAAAAAAGAAAAGAAAAAAGCATCATGTAACTGCAGTCTACTATACAAATCACTTTCTCTTTTAATAGCTCTTCTGCATTTACTTTTGTACTGTATATTCCTTATATCACGTCTACCTTTCCATAGGTACCTTCTTGTCCAGAACTGCTGGAGGAGCCATGCAATCTCTTTGCTCTATGGTAATACAGTTGATATTATTATTTCAGTCTTCAGCAGTGAACTTGAAACCTTTACAATCCCTTCATTAATTTCTCTAAAGAGGATGAAAACTGGTATGCCCTTCAATGACCTCCTTTCCCTGCCAAAACTCTAAGACTAAGAATGCCCTTTCTTTGGTAAATTCAGGCTGTGACTGATCTCAGTCAACATTACAAAAGACAAGAGCAGGATCCTTATCAAAACAGGTTTGTACATCCTGTACTTCATATAGAAATTGTAAACAAGTGTTATATTTTGTTCTGGTGTGGTGAACAAAGAGATCTACCCCAAAAACTCACGCTCCCTTACAGTGACCCACAAGTGGTATAGATGTTTCTCCAAGATCTCCGATTTTATCTAAGCTGCCAAAGATCTATTTCAACTGCATTTGAATCAGAACTTTGAACATAAAATTATCATTATTTTCTGAAAACACATGGTATAAGCAAACCTTTCCCAATGACGATGACTATTCCAGAACTAGAAACTACATGATGAAGAATAGCCAAAAGGGACATCTCAATTCTCAGTACACTATTTTCTTAGCATCTACCCAAAATGTTATTAACCAAGAATCAACTGTTCATTTCCTTAGACAATGAGTGTTGCCATTAGTTTTATTTAACGGAACCACATCTTTTCTAAATGAGAAGATCACAGCGCTGTGGCTGGGCAATTCAGAGGTATAGCTTCAGCTGTTCTGTCAGCTCATAAAGTCAACTGGATGAAAAAAAAAACAACCAAAAAAACCCAGTAGTGTGTTTTTTCTCCTGTGTCTCTGTTCCTGCATTTCCATCCTCATGTGGTGAACTGGGCTTCTGTGGTGGTGTGGGCTCAGTTGATTGCTGGGTTGGGCGTCTGAAATAGGTTTTCACCACCGGTCTCCCAAAAGCGTCTGTGTTGGTTTTGCAAACTTCGTTTCGCTTTTAGGGGTCTAAACTCTGTTGTTGGGAGTTTGGCAGCTTCCAGAGCATTTGGTGGGTTAGAAAGGGTTCAGCTTGAGGTCCCTGTAACCCTGTGGGCTGCCTTGGATGCCAGCCCAGACCCTGGAAATACAACATGAAGGGGTACAGCTCCACGCGGCTTCCCTCATCTCACCGCTCCTGCCCGCCGCTACAAAGGAGAGAGAGAGAGCATCAGCCCTTGGGACTCGGAGGCAAATCTCAGCGATGCCTCTCTCTGTGACACCGCCATCACATCCCTAATGCTGTTCACCATCCGCTCAAACCCAGGCTGGAACAGAACTGGAGGGCAGGTTAAAAGGGCTCCCTGCAAGAAAAGGCTTTTTTAGTAAAGCCGCAGCCTCTACTAGTCAGCTCCTGGCTCGTGCTGCTTGCGCCTGCCCTTTAAAGCCGTACACCAGTATTTGCTGCAGTGCTCTATTTCATTAGCTTGCCGTTAATAAAACACCGCCAGGAACATAACACGTGATTTCTCTATTCACAAAGCTTTTTTTGGCTGTGTAAAAAAGCATTCCGCACTGCCCGTTTCCCCGACCATTACAGAAAAACAACCAGCCAGCCACACAACCAGCCACAAGCCCTCGGGAGAAGCGTGGTGAGGTTATGGCTGATCTTATTTGCTGGATGGCCATCCTTTCCTCCACAGTTCTATTTTATCTTCTTTCCAGACCCCTGAACTCCACCTCCTCTTAACTTGCTTTGGGGTACATTTTGCAACAGCCCCTTTCCACTCTCTTGTCCTACTCGTGGCCATCTCCTCAGCGCCCCAGCATTGCCTCCTACCCATGACCAGTTTCCACACAGCCGAGGTTAAAACCAGTGAAAAAGCAAAGATCATTTTGTACTCGGCACTGGTGAGGCCCCACCTCGAGTACTGTGCCCAGTTTTGGGCCCCCTACCATAAAAAAGACATAGAGGTGCTGGAGCGGGTCCAGAGAAGGGCAACAAAGATGGTGAGGGGTCTGGAGCACAAGTCTTATGAGGAGAGGCTGAGGGAGCTGGGGTTGTTCAGTCTGGAG